GCGTTTTGAATAACTCAATAATAACTAGTATTATAAGAAAGTACTGCTCATTCGATCCCATCATCTCATTGATGAATATAATTTAAGATATTCGTTCAAAGACTGATTACATTGTTCTAACAAACCGTTCAATTGTGGGTTATTAGCTGTCGCTCGTAACTTTCTGATTCCGAACCTGTTAGCAACGTTTTGTGACAATGCACTTATGACATTGCATCCCTGATCTGTTAAAATGACTTTAGGCCGAACAATAATACAAATACAGTCCACTCGGATTTTGGTTCGCTTCTGGGCTGCATAGGAATAGATTTTCGCGAAATGGTGTTCTCCCACTTTAACGCAGTAGTATAACGAATCTCATCGTTTTTTGCCTTCTCTATTTGTTTTAATTCTATATATTCTAAAATAAGACGAAATAACAACTTCAGGAAATTAATTAATAAAGAAAAAGTTTATTAAAGATTGACAGCAATTATTTAGAACCGAAGAACCCGTGCGATCAACTTAAGTCTCAGTCAAGAACTGGAGATAAACAATCTCCCCCCTCGTTGCTATAAACAATCTAATCGTCAAGCAATCGTCGTTAACTAACAAACTGTCGTTAGTCTAATAGTCATTAGATGGCGACATACAAAAGCGTGGGCGCAGTTTGAGACAGAAAGGAAGCAGCTAAAAAACCGTTGGCGGGAAGAGCAGAGGCTTGCAGATGAGAGGCAAGAGTCACTATTTGTGACAACGCTTATGATCATTAACAAACTTAGAACATTAAGTAAATTTACCCTAAAAGAAGACTGTCTGGCGTGGATTGAACGTTTCGGTCACTATATTGAAGTGAATGGAATAAGTGTCAGCAGTAAGAAGTCATTGTTTCTGACACTGCTGAGATCCGAATCATACGAGTTATTAAGGAATTTATATGCACAAGCGGCACCAGCAGCAAAGACTGGGAACAATAAATGATCACCTCAAACAAATGCCTAGCATTATAGCCGAAAGATACAAATTCAAAGAAAGCCGATAGTCCGATATCATAACATATGTGACAGCATTTCAAAGATTAGCAATACCGACCGAGCTTGGAGAAAATTTAGAAATCAGTATCAGAGATCTGTTTGTATGGGGTGTCAAAAATGCAGCTATAAGGAAGAGGTTACTTGTAGAGCAGAGTGTAACATACTTAAGCGCGATCGAGTTGGCAACAGCAATGGCGTCAGCCGCCAAAGACGTGTCAGCGATGGAGAATTCCGGGACGCAAGGGTCAGCCAGTAATTTCATCAGGAGAGACCGGGGAACATTGGTGTGAAAGCTCGAACCGATAAAAATGAGTTATTTGCTTATAATAGATTGTGTTTTGGAGTCACTCCAGCAACAGGGATATTTCAGGCAGAGCTGAAGAGTCTTCTTAAAAACATGTAAAGAGTAGTCTGTTTTTATGATGATATTCTGATTTGGGAAAACACATTTGAGTCACATGATGACCGTTTGAAAGCAATTTTACAGAGACTTAGAGTACGCTTTCGTTCTGCTTGTTGTATCAATCTAATACAAACAATTTTAACGTTAAAATAAATTAACAATAATCAGAAATCAGTTGAAGGTAGATACAACTTTTAATTCAATTTGTTAGATAATAATGAGTCTATGAGGTCTTGATGTCGGCAATGACTCGAAAATAATTCAGCTTGATCTAATGATCACTCAGTCTACTAAGAGTCCTGATATGGCAGCCCGTCAGGCACGTTGCCATCAGAAATACCCTGACTACAGCATTCCTTAATCATCCCGAGTTAATAGTTTACCCAATTATCAATTAGATAATATAAAAAAAAAAAAGCAATGTGGCTCAATCATGCTCGATTGTAGTGTTTACCCTGACAAAACTGTAATCTGCTTACTAGTGACATTCTCTGTAGTCCCGATCACAGCAATGGCTGCAACAGATAATACACTTATGCTCCACCACCAACGGTTGAAGCTCAGCTCACTGGGTCAACGGTTTCTTCACTTCGAGAATGAGCTTGACACTTAGATGCCCACTGCGAACGTTTGCGTTTCTTTGCGTTTTATAAAATTATAAGACTCAAAAGTTTTAATGTCTTTCCACTTAGACGGGTGCACGCCGAGTGATTGTTGGGTCAACGACAAAGTTGATAGTTGACTAGTGCATGATCGGTAATGTCAAGGGGCGCCCTCATTAAAAAATTCAAATAGTCAATTTTTCTATGACTTTTCTATAAAGTACATTAAAGAGGTTGAAAATAAAACAGCAAATTTTATCTCACGAATGTTTCAAAGTAGTAAAGAAAAACAGTTTAAAGCTGGAGAACTTGAAGGGGGAGAAAGTGGAGAATTTTCATATTTGAATTATGTACTTGATGATGTAACGACGATCGATGTGAATGTGTTACGTGAAGAGATATCAAAAGACACTGTATTAAGTCGAGTTTTTAAATTTGTGCGAGATGGTTGGCCAAAGACTGTAAGTGAGGATCTGTCCAGTTATAAAAACAGAGCGAGAAAATGAACTTTTGAAAATAAATGTTTAATGTGGGATTACAGAGTTGTAATACCTACTAGTTGGAGGAAAAAAATTTTAAATGAATTCCACAGCGTTCATTCCGGAGTAGTAAAAATGAAGTCACTGTAAAGCCTGTGAGATCTGTCTGTCGAATGCAGGGAATCCACCTAAGGGTAAACTTTACTATTAGACAACACCTGATGAGCCAAACCAGAGACTTCATACTGATTTTCTCGGCCCAATTAATTCAAAGATGTATATTGTAATCATTGATGCGTTCTCAAGTAGCCCAATTTTCGTAATGTTTTCTATTGATAGAAGATTCCCGAATGTTATTCTTAAAAATGTAATTTTAAGGATTCAAACATTTTGTGCATGTAGAGCAATCTGAAAATATCGGATTGTCAAACAACAGTGACGTGGCGCCGTTTTTTTTAAAGATATCGAACGATATCCGTTTTTGACGGATTTTAAGATAATCTATAAATAAAAAATATCACTTTGTGTTTTTTATAAACATAAACCATTCATTCGCTATATTTGTACATTGCGAGTATACCTATATATGTCGTAGAGAAATTGTGTCTATGAGAGAAAGGTCCGCGTAAAATGGCATTTAGGTAAGACTGACAATGAAAAAGCTAGAAATCGAGTTGAATTGTGCGAAAAACGGAATCAGGGGCGCGGCCTAATCTGTATCTCGATAAATATTCAATAAAAAAATCTTTTTTTGGATTCAAATGAAAGCTTTCAGTCATTATTGATTGTGTATTGAAAATTTTTCCATAATGTTGAATAGTTATCGAGATATTCACATTCAAACATTGCGTCGTGACGTCACGCGCAAACTTTCCAGTATAGGGTAGCGTGTTACTCGGCCCTGTAAATATGAGCCACCATAGCGCACTAGTTTGACGAGGGGCAATAGATGGATAAGGGGCACGAATAAGCTGGTGACGTGGCGCCGAGTATCTCCCGCTACTCTAGATTCGAATAGTGTAGGAAAACTTATCTCCATATAGTTACATTAGTCGTAAGATTTTTATTAAACAATTATTAGTTATAAACAACAAAAAAAAGTCAAAACTACATGCTGTGAGTTCTGGAGCTTCGCCAGCAAGCTCTATCCTTACTTTCGGTACCCAAGCCTGCAGCTCATATTTAATAAACATAGACTGTAATTATGATAATTATGTGTAATTTTAACAACTGAAAAAAAAATTTGCAGTGACTGGACCTCTGGTTCGAGTGATAACCTAATTTTTATTTTATATTTTGAGAATGCTGACCTTGTTACGTCAGCTTCTCTTTCTTCCATTTATAATATATAAACGAAACCCGGGTTTCCTTTCCTATGGGTTGGTTTATTTACCAATTTCTTTAAGCTGGTTTTTTGTGCTTAAAAATGCGCAATGAGTGCGTCCAATACGCTGTCTCTCTCTTCCTCAGTGGTGGGCCCTTCGCATCCCAATTTTTCTTCACTTCCAGAGTTCACAAAGTTTTAAAAATGGTAGAGGACTTTCCGTTTGCAAAAGTTCTCATCAATAAATTTATAAAAAAAAAAATTCAAAATTTAAAAAATTCGTAACTTCGAAGTCATTTTTCGCGAAAACTATAATAGATGCAAGAAAATGTTTCATACAAAAGTTATATATTTTCATATTATCCACAACTTTTATTTGAAACATTTTCCGATATCTATTACAATTTTTGCCAAAAACGCTAAAAAGTGGTTTTGAGGGAATTTTACACCCCGACCCTGGGTTCGCAACCCCCTAAAAATCTCTGCTTTAATCTAGGAATATTCTATGCAAGTTTGACCGAGGTCAAAAAATTGCCATTTTAGGTCTACTTTGACTGGACTATGTAGATTACATCGCTCGACATTGTACAGTAACTGTCTACACTGATCCTAAAATATATCACGATGTTTAATGAATTTCTCGAAATTTTTCTTTATTGTTTTAATGCAGTTAATTTTTCTATTACAAGCACGATCATTCATGGTATGGAAGGATGTTAGTGCCAATCCAGAGCACGATTATAGTACAAATATAGTTCGTTTTTTTTTCTTTGAAATCATCGAGACAAAAAATAATTTTGTAAGCACGTGCATACACATAAACGTTTACGTGTGAAATTTTGTGTACAGCTTCAGAGATTTTGAGACGTAAGAAGATGTCAAAATTTGGAGATCGCTAAATCGGACTTGTTGCAAAAACTTTTCACTGGAAAATTATAAGACAAAAATTTTTTCAAAACTAGTCATCAATCATGACAAGTTGAATGAAGAGTTGTATTTGTCAACTATTGTTTAAACGCATTATTCTATAAATTGTCACTTATTGGACTGGGTGTCCAAATGCTTCTTCTTTCAGTAGCATGACTGATAGTGCAATAACATTTTTTCCGTTGATAAAACGCTATATGTCACATATATATAAAATAAAATTTCGTAATAAATTGTATTCATCTTTTGCAGCGACTCGGTAGTGTTCGTGGTGAAGATATTCCCTACGTTTTTGGATTACCTCTTATATTAGGTGGATCATTCTTTCCACTGAATTACACTCGTCAAGATCAAGGTGTAGCAGAGGCAATTCTTACATTTTTCACTAATTTTGCGAAAACTGCGAATCCTAATTTACCTCATAACATTGAATCTGTCGATTATGGTACTGAAAAAGAAAAAGCAAGATTTCGTGGATTGGCTTGGGAGCAGTATGAAACAGGATCTCAATTGTATTTAATGATAGGTATAATAGTCTACTCAAATTTTGAATTTATCTATAATAATGTATATGAAATTATAGCATCGAAACCAAAAGTGAAGAATCATTATCGTGGACATAAAATGGCAATGTGGTTAAATCTCATTCCGCAGTTACATCAACCAGGAGACGAAGATGTATCGATGCGTCATCATCATTTTCGGGAACATGATGAAAATTTCTATATAGGTAAGGTAAATTAATAAACATTTTGATCAGAGTTTAATTGACCTTTTTTTGTAGGAGCCGTTCGAGACAAATTGCATACCCCAATACACCAACTCGACACAACAAAGAATCATATAGCATCAGCTATTTGTACTACTCCAAATGTTAACAATCAAATTATTGTTGATGTCGTAACGATCTTGTCTAGCAGCACTGATAAATCTGAAATATTCCAAGAGTTTGCTGCCCGTCATTATTATAGTACTACAACCGCACTAATAATCACTGTTGGAGTTGGTTGCATTTTTCTGCTTCTAAATACGTTAATATTTGCGGGAATTTACTATCAACGATATCGCGATAAGAAAAAGACATTTACTCATGAAGGTAGTACTCATGACCCTACTTCTATGACAGTAACTCCGATTATTGGAAAGAATTCATTGTCTATTCATGAGCCACCTCCTTCATATGCTACTCTTCCTAGAACACATCCTCAAAATTCCAATGAGACAGAAAATAATTTGCATGAATTAATTCCACAATTAACAAAACTAGGAGAATCTTCAAAAACCGAAAAAATGATCCAAAGTCCTGTGAAAAATGTTTTTTTAAAAGAACTAAAACCTCCTAAACCACCGACTAGGACAACTAGTTCATTGAGCACTGGTAGCAGTAATAAAAAAAAAGTCCAAATACAGGAAGACATAATTTAATATTGAAGATGATAAAAAAACTCGGTAAAAATGGTAAGAAGATTAACATTAATTTGTAGTCTGAAGGAAAACAGCTAAAAAAAACCTCAAAAACTTCAATCTACGCAATGTTTAACTAATACATATAAAATAAAGTTATGAGATTAAACGTAAAAAATTCTATTGGTTTTTTTTTAAACTTCTTGTAGTACTTTTTGATCACATTAACACTAGATGAGACCAGAGTAGATTGAAGCACAAAAAGTTCATTGTAGTAGATTAATTTATTTGTGTCATTAATTTTTTCCAAGCAATCGTGAATTTAATATGAAACTTTGATAAGCAGAAATTAATCATAAAAATCCATAGTCACGATAAGATACTACTAGTAAAATCGTTAATTATTAAATGGTTCGAGAAATTTAGTAAGCCCTGGAATAAATTCATTTTGTGTAGCCACTATTAGATATCCGTTATTGGTGATTTTTTTAAAATTGTTTCACGTGTCACAACTGTAAAATTTGCGCCAATGACAATTTGGTGAAACATTTTATTATTTAAGTATTGAAAAAACTAAACTAAATGGTAAATAAAACACGATGCACTGAGAACAACTGCGGACTTCTTATGCATAAATATTGGAACACAATGTCAATTTGCCTTAACGTATTTGTTTCGATACATTTCTTTATGGCAAGAATAATTTTTGACTGTAAAAAATTTGAGACGAATTAAAAGGAAAAAATCAGTGAATGGTTATCTTAAAATGCTATTGGTAGTTATACCTACATTAGTTTTAAGAGCAGCAAACACTGTTTACACTGACGGCATTTTCCTTGTATTTCTAAAATTTTTTTTTTTTCTTCATGTAACACAATAGGTCAGTCGATTGCCACTCAGCCCTTCAGTATTAGTTCAAGAGCAGTGTAAATTACCCATGCATTAATTTTAAGAAGAATGTAAAAAATTTTAGATTACGGCTTCTTTTAGAGATCAACGAAAAGAGCATTTGTGCTAAATATCATTGTTTAAAAATGATTTTCACTGTTACTTATCAAGAATTGAAATTCTGACCTTTCACTGACTGTCCAGCGCAAATGTTTAACACTTGTATTATAATTTTCATGACAACATTAAATATGTTACTTATTTTGAGCTTAAGTTATTTATGTGTACTGTATTACATATGATAATAATTAATAAAATGATTTCCCGTTGAAAAAACTTGAATTCATTACACAGATCCCATTGTTGATGGTTTGTAACAAATTGCACTATTATAAATAATTAGAGTTTGATTTTCTAGATTTCAAATCTGTAGAAACTTGGTATCAATCGGAGAAATAATTTTCTGTTAGAAGAACTTAAATTTATTACGTAGATTACGTTTTCGATTTTTCATAACGAATTCAATCAATATAAACATTATTTAATATGCATACGTAACGATATTCAGTGTTGCAATGTAATGAAATTGTAAAACTTTATTTTGTTGTCGAATAAACTCATTTTTATCATAAAACATTGAGGTTGCGGGGTAAACACTATTATAATTGTTTATGATAGACACCAGAATTTCATTAATATAGATTAAATAAAATTACAATTCCTATTATCATTATAAACTTATATATACGAATAGGCAATTGATGATAAATAGAATGATATATAAGTTTATTGATGATTTGATGAATAGGAAGCTATGTCTCTTATCTCTTTATACTGCATGTTCGAGGAAGCCAACGTAATAACAGAAAATCTCAATCTAGTATCTTGGACAATTTCGCTAACTTTGGATTTTGGTTTTTTTTTTACTAATTATTTGCAACGTTATCCTACTTTAGAGTTTCTCTGAAATTAAAAAACAATATGTAGCTGGATGCAAACGCAGCGTGCACAAGTTCGATTAAGCTCTACCTTTTTTGTGAGACTGCAAGTCTGAAAACGATACTGAACATTTTTTTTTTTTAATTTTCGAAATAATAATTAATACATTTTTTCTTTTAATCTATCGAAAGTCGCTCAACGACACATTTCGCCGGAATGCCTAAAATCATCAATTTTGGTGCAATCGTTCAGAGCACTGCACTTTTTTACCTGTAATAGGTAAATCTCATCAAGAGCAGCCCCCTATTTCTGGGCTGTACAAAAATGTGCCTTAAACATGAATAATGATATTAATAGAACACAACAAGTCGTTTTATGACACACTCAACATAATAATAAAAAACTTGGCTACCAAGAATAAAAACGTTACCAGGAACGAAAAAATTCACTTTAAACATTGTTGATTTTCAGATTTATGTACTTGGCGTTTAATGATTTTAGGACTGGTTGTATTCCATCAATATCATTATTCATGTTTGAGGCACATTTTTGTACAGCCCAGAAAGAGGGGGCTATTTTTGATGAGATTTCACGATTTTTTGTACATATCCACTGAAAAGAAACATTAATAAAATATAAAATTATTTAGGAAATACTTTAATTATTTGTATATTCACGTTCAAGCAAGATTAAGTTGTTACTAACTTTATAATCCGTAAATGAGGGAACTTTATGGCAATGAGAAACTTTGATGACCAACTTGAGAAAAAAAAAACGTATTATTGCTGCATGAATAAACTCTCATTTTACTCAATTTTTCCGCAACGATATTGAATTTTGAAATTTTTTCAATTTCGTATATCATAAATGAAGCTATGATGATACTCGATATGATGCTTAATCTGAAGCTAACATTTGCTTTTCTGGCAAATTTTTTATTTCAGCCCATGTTTCTATTATAATGAAAGAAAAATTTTAATTTTAAGAATTATAACCTACAAAAATCTTCTTATAACTTGTATAGAGGCACGGTAGTGCCTTGTCGTGACGTAAGGAATATTTCTTCTCGTAGACTTTGCTCCAAAAAATTTTATTTTCTATGTAAGGTATTCATATTATTTTCTATGAAACTCACGTATTTCGCTGCATAAACAGAAGCAGTAAAAGGTCAGAACATTCATTTCGTCAAATTTCAATTGTTAATAAACAACAGTAAAAATCACGTTTCAACAATGACATTTGGCATAAATGCTTTTTTCGTTGATCTCTACACGAAAACGTAGTCGAAAAATTTTTTTATACTTCTTAAAATTAATGCCTATTGGCACAAAGGCGTTTTATACGGTTTCTGCACTGTAAGTTGATATGTTGTGGACTTATCGATCATCAATTGACTTTATTCATCAATTAGGTCAAATTACTTTATTTTTATCAACGCTATTATCGCTACGTGGTTAGCCGGCTAAAATATTCACAGAAAGACGGCTTTGTAGGATTACTATCGAACGCGGAATCTCGTGGTGTCTTTTTTCTTTAAGCTGCAATTATTTTTCGACATAGTGAGAGCATCTAAGACTTGAGAAATAAATGGAAATTAGTAAAACCTCGACGTTAGGAGACAATTCGAAAAAATGATAGAGCACATTTTATTTGCAAATGTTATTGTTAATGATTTGATGCAAAAAAAATTTTAATTTTACAATTTTGCAACTTTAACCCATTAGAAGTCACTGTACTCGATCGAGTACAGCTATATTTTTAAGTGTCAATTACAGATCTCGAAAAGTTTACTTGGGTTACCTAATTAGTTGAGTTTATTACCACACTGTTCAAGTATATTCGACATAATTATGAGGGAATTTTTTTTCTGAATCTTTCTTGTTCTAATTACAATATAGAAATGAAGTAAATTTAATAAATATCGGTACTTTTTATTTGACCTCTAATGGGTTAGAGACATTTTTCACAAAAACTATTCTAAAGACGAAAAAATGTTTGATAAAAAGTTGTAGATTTTCATATAATCTCGAACTTTTGTCTGAAACATTTTTCGATATCTATTATAGTTTTCGCTAAAAACGTTAAAAAAGGGCTTTAAAACCTCCTAAAAATTATCCCTATTCAAATCTAGCATGCCTAGAAATATTTCAGCCAATTTTGACCGAAGTTAAAAAACGGCAATAAGAACTCTATTAGTCAAAATAAACACTGAATTTAGTCAATTTAGTGAGTAGAACTAAAATTATTGATTATTTAGTCGATTTATTATCGACCTAGTGTCAAGATGGCTACCTAAGTTCCTGTCAGCTGATTATTAACACTTGAAAATTTAACGATTTTCAACACGAGTAAGTATAAGTAATAATAAAAAATTTTTTAAGAACATAAATCAGTGACAGCTGATTGGTAATAATCATGGAGTAACTGTAAAAAAATACATTTCATAAAAAAAATTGTTGATAACGAAAAATTGTTTAAAAAACAATTAAAAAAAAATGTTATAATTTTCCCGGATGCATCATTAGAAAGAGCATCGTTTATTATTGAAAAATTAATTGTTCAACAACCATAATTGTTATTAGAACTATTTTTTTTATAAACAGTTAAAAATTAACAGACTGCAAATAAATTTTTGATAAATTTAACATTCTGTTGATAATTGCTTATAAAAAACCTGCAAATTAAATGAAAAAAATTTTCAATAATTAAAAACTACGCATTTGTTTATAAAATTTATCTATAACAAATACTGAAAAAATTTTTAAGAAATGGTTCCATACTCGTCACATGAAGTTATGAGACTTTGCTGTACATAATTTTAATATTAAAAAATAACTCCACCCCCAAAATAAGGGTGAAAGAATCCAAAAACAACATTACGGAATTCCACGGTATTAACAAAAAATTTTTTCAAAAAACTGAGATAGCCATTCTATAGAGCGTAAAAAATTCTATCTGCTCCTTAATTGGCTATAAAATGTGCCCATAAACAAAAAAAATATAAGGGTGCAAAGTTCACGAAAAAAATTTGAAAAAAAGACGCTTCAGATATTATAAAAAATCGAAAAATTCATTTTGTTTATTGAATTTTAATTGGAAAACGATTCTAAACATTCCAGAATTTTTCCAGATTGTTTGAGATGTTGGAAATATTTTCTTTTTAAATGTTAATTAAAATGACACTTAACGGCATATTCTGTCGCTACGTTCTTGCTACGTAAGGGATGAAAGGTAGAAAAACGCAATTTGCTAAAGTTTGACACTCGAAAAACAATAGTAATTATTGTTTCCGAGTGATAAAATTTTGCGAAAATACTCTCCTCATTATCCCCTGCAAGAGTATCCAACAAAAAATTTTTTATTATCATTCTATAATTAACGCACGATAGCATAGGGCTTAAATTTACGGCTACTAGACTGAAATGTACAATACGAGAGAAGAGTCATTTTTAAATTTACATCCCTAACTTAGAGAAGTTAACGTCACAAGGTCAGGATTAATCAACGTAGGCCAATAAAAGAAAATGAAATCGTATTAGAATATCCGATAGTAAAGGAATATCTATATTTCCTAGGTACATAGTTGATGTAGCTGAGCAAATAAAGGCATTAATCCAACCTTTGCTGATTGTTGCTTTTCCCCTTTTCCATGTCTTGAGTTCAATTGGACCGGCATAGTCGATACCAGTAGGAATGTATGCGGGTGATGAAGTAACTCGTGATTCTGAGAGTTTCTCTACGAGTTGATGAGCTCTTGGAGCGCGTGATGAGCGCATGGGATGCACCTGGAAGTGTATGAGCGCACTGGTTGTCGACGGTCAAGGATCCAAAACTGTTAGCTCATGAATGCAAGCGTAACATGAGTGCCACTATGAAGAATTTGTTAATGAGCGTCGGAGATTTTAATATTGAAAGTTCTAAAGAGCAAGGTAGTATTAGAAAACATTCGTTTTCTTGAGTAAGTGATAAAGTCTCGAATCTCCCTCCTGCTCAAATGACTCCTTCTGAGTCAATATGAGCGGTGAGTCTAGCAAAGGCGTGACCGTTCGGAATTCTTTTTGTAAAGATGTGAGTGTCATTCCAGGTTTCTCTTCATGAGCCATGATTGAAAATTTTTTGTAAATCAAAAATGGCTAATCAGTTCTAAGTTGCGCAGTTACGTGCCGAATGCAGTTGGTTCCACGTCGATATCATTTTTTGTTCTCGAGATAATCGAGGCGAAAAATAATTCCGAGCGAACGTACGCACATACGCACACACGCATACACGTACATACACACAGAGACGTCCACTGGAAAACGATCGTATTAGACTCTGGGGACCTTGAAACGTGGAAATATGTGAAAATTCGAGATTCGCAAAATCGGACCCATTACTATAACTTCCCACTGGGAAGTTCAAAATAAATTAATAAAGAAAAAGTTTGATAAAGAT